TTTCACGGTCTGGCTCTCCGTTTTTGGATGCATTGGAAGAGGAGGCGAGGTTCTCTAGGTTCCTATCAGATATCATGAGACTTGATACTGAGATGTGGAAGCACTAGAGAGCCTCTGAATCTTAAGGAACGCGGGTCTTATCGACCCACTCGTTTGCAAAGTCAGCCAACGTCTGGGAGAGGAGTTTGATATAGGGGAATGATAAAGGAAAGAGAAACAATTAGAAAAGAAAAGAGATGAGTAAAATTAAAGCATGTAAGAAAAGTATAGGTATACTTCCAAAATCCCTCGTCTCCCAGCATTCTGTATTTAGAATGTTCCTTCTCATAGGAAGTATCCTCGGGATAGTCACTGAGTTGAAAAACTATCTGAGGATGAGTATGAGGAAGATGGTAGACTTAACCTTCAGCTGGCGGATACTTAATTCGTCGAGCAGAAATGCTCGCGTCGGTGGCCAGTACAGTCCAAGCCGAGCAAGAGGAGAGTTTAGAGCTGATGACTTTTATTTTTCTTTGTCCTGGAATTCGACAAAGGCAGAAAAGAGTGAGAATTGAAGTAGCTACTAAAAGATTGAGATCATAAGTAGCTTCCGATTGGCTGCGGGATTTCGTAAAACTCGTGGTTGAGGAATGAATGTGCTTCATAAACTTTCTTGAGCATGTAGTATATTATCAAGAATATACTGCATGATTGATTTCAAGAAAGTTGAGTTTTCTATCATAACAAGCATTCCTTTAAAGCATTCAGAGTCCAACTTTTCCCGGTCCCGGACGGTCTGTAAATGTGAGAAGGATTGTAATGCTGAAGTGAGTTGCTCCATGCTTGCCCTGCTTGTATCAGCTGCTATCTATGAAGAAGAATTATTGTAAAATAGATCATTGAGGAAGATATAGGAAAGGTACCCGACGAAGCATAGAGTATTTCCACGTACTCGACCCAGCTTTGCCCACATCAGCAGCAAAGCATAAATCGGAAAATTAGAATTTGATGGAAGTTTTTTTATTTTTAGTATTTATTATTAGAAAAAGATATTGATTTTTGCTTAATGTATGATTTTCCTTGCAGCTTGTTCAGGCGTTTCGGCAAACGGACCGACTTTGAAAACTTCTCGAAAGCTTCCTTGAATCGGCCGCTGCAAATGCATGGGATTGTGAACTGTGCTCTTCGGAGTACCTGGAGCAGCGTGCGTTCTTCGAAATTGCGCATTTTAATGATGCGAAGAGCCGGCGATTAGAGTTTCTACCTCTTAGCTTCGTGAACGATGAATAAAAAATTAGTCACCATGTTGTGCATAATTTCTGAAGATCTGCGTTGGTTCGTGTGTTCGTCCATTTGAGAATTAGAATGAGATAATATCCATCATGCATCGAGAATCGTGGTAGAAAGAATTGCATCTGCCACTTTTGGTTGATGGATGATGGATAGCATAAAAGAAGAGATCGAGACGCGGATCGGCCTTCGTTCGTTTCATGACGTCCAAGATGCTGCGCAATTTAAAATTCTCTACGATTACATGAAAGATAACGATATCCTCTAGCGTATATGCTAAGAAACTTCCTTGTTGAAGATTCTACTGAGTTTCCTTATTTGTTTAGGAAGAGGATGATCGTGGAAGCCATAATAGTCACGGAACTCCAGGAAGTCCTGTGATGATTGAAGGATGTGGAAGAAAATATTTATGAGTTTCAACGAGGAGAGAAATGATTTGATAAAGAAGAACAGAAACAGGCTGCGAGAATATTGTATATAATACCATAGTTTGTTTGACAAATGAGTCTGCTGATCCATCTGCAAGCTTCCCTGGATCGCAAGGGACCATCTCCGGTGCCCAATACATCTTCATCTCGTCCGTGAATTCAAAGCTATGCTTTTTACTGCTTGCGTAAAAAAGATAGTGGATGCCTGCTTGGAACATGCAACTGCTGTAATGGAGATAAATTCCATGGTTAGTCTTTGCCCAAGAGGAAGCTTGCTGCCAGCCGAATCTTTATTTTAGAGCGAACGACTATAAAAGAGGAAGCAGATGAGATAACATATTGGAATAGCCTTAACTTCTTGGAATTCCCAGCAGTTACAGCAGCATGGAGATGCAAGTGTCCTGTTTCTCGTGCCTTCTCACGTCGGATGCCCATGATCTTCAAATCTGTCCCTTGAGACTGATTTTTAGAATGTGAAATAGCAGTACTATAAACAATTTTGTTTTTTTGCACAGTGAGAAAAATAATTCTAGAAGCCTTAAGGTGAGCGTTGCGAAGAATTTCAATGTATTCTTCATCCGTGACATCCACTGGACGTAAAATCTGAAGGAAGAATACTTTTCGACAAGTCTATCTATGAAGATTCTTTGCGGGAGAAGTTTGAATCTTCATAGTTAGAATGGTAGAAAAGAATGAAAAGCTCATACTTCGCATTTGGATGGGTCTCCAAAAAAGCATCCGTAGGACAACTGAAGGTGATCATGTAGGAGCTGTAATAATGACCAGAACACTTCGGAGGTCCAGATGGCAGGTCGGTTTGATCTGTTTGTGTGAGGATGAGATCCGTAAATGAGAGATAATTTGTTTTGGAATTCATCTTCTTCGATGTTACCTAAGAACATAAATGAAGCATCACAACAGACATAAATGAAGCATCGTAACAGAGATTTATATTAATGGTACCCCAAACGCCCCAAGGGTAAGCCATGGTGTCAGTTTTTGGCGGCTCCAGTACATTAGTTTCTGGCTCGGACTCCATTTTCGGATTGTCAATGGATGACTCTTGAGTCACTGGAATTCCGCGATTTAGAAATAGTCGTTTAATTTGAGATAACGAAGAAGCGAGCATACGAAGCTAGGTCATTTGTCACACGCGAGCCTTAAAAAAAGATCTGCCATGTCCATATCGAATTGGATCGCCATGTCTTCCATATCCTGGTTTCCTGCTATTCCTTGTTTAGGAACGGGTGCTGTTTTTTTTTTGCTCTTCGGTTGTTCAGCTTCTGGTTCAGAAGCCGACGATGCTTGCGTCTTGCTTGGCTGCTTCTTCATTGGAGGCGCCTTCTTCATGGCTGGCCTCTTCGTCAACTTCTTAGAAACAGGCATTTTTTTGGTTTTAGATGAAGAGACTGCAATGAATTAGTTTGAACCAGTATTTGTGTGCTTCTAAGCAATAAATGAAGCAAGTAGCATGGGATGAAGAAAATGAAATGAGTATCAAAGAATGAAAAAATCAGAAGTATTTTTATTGAATTAGAGCATAAATATGAAAGCCAGAGTTAAAGATAAGAAGACTAGATATGAAGCGAAGAGTCTTACTGAAGCATGCAAGTATGATAGTTGCAGGAAAAAAAGTAATAAAATTGAAAAAATGGGTGCTGGGTGAATGAGGTTTGGTGCTGTGATTTAGATGTATGTGACTTAATGGCACTTAGATGGAAGGACAATAACAGAATTGATCTCTCCTCACAGAATTCAACGCTCTCAACAGAATCAATTGATCTCAACAGATTTGCTTCAGAAGGATACTAATGTAAAAACCGATTTCATTATTCTTGACAGATATTCAATGTGATGACATAAACCTCGTGAGCATTCCATAGAAGTTGCCTTCAATTGAGTCTTAATTTCTCGTAAGGTCTCACACCGCTCGTTTTCGTCATGAACATGCTTTGCAGAGAGAAATTTACTCGAAGAGCATGAGTCACAATGGGACTCATCTCCAGAGTTGAATTAAAATAGATGCTGTTGGTTCGATGTATTCTCCTTCACCTAGACGCATTTGCATCAACGTAGTATGTGCTTCATGTTCGAGAGGTTGTGAATAATAATCTCACCAGGTAGCATGCTGTATAGAAGTCTTCAATTATCTTTCTCCTTCATCGTCTTGATTTAGTCCTTGGTTCGATGTATGTTCAATCACCTAGACCAAAGCAAAATGTCTACATCTGGACGGTTCTTAAGACAAATCTCACCAAGATAAACCTGTGCCCAAAGTCCTTATTCTGCTTTTTTCACATCAATCCCAAGTCCTTACTTCGTTTTCATCAAGTGAAGCAACCTGAAAGTAATTGAGAAAGTAAGATGAAAATATGATGCTCGTTGAAAGAAAAGTTATTGAAATTGCAACAGAAGGCTACGAGAAAGTGGAGCAGTAAAGAAGCAGAAAAAGTATGAGGATCCATAAATCGTATTCATCGGAGAAGATATAAATTGCAAAAAATACTTCATGCTTTGTGCTTCTTGGAAGATCCTGACGCAGTAGCAGCAGCACTCGCAGCTTCCTCGCCTTCATTGGATCTCTTCATAACCGCTTGTTCGCCTTGCATATTGTTGGAGGATGAGGACGACGAGGAGCCTCCTGCAGTTGTAGCTGCGGTAGACGACGTCGCACCTGTTGTTAATATTGAACTGAGATGATTGCGAAGAACAAGAATGATAAATTGGAGAGATGTATATTGAAGATTAGTCGATTTAGATATCATCATAGATGAAATACCTGAAAAAAAATAGTGTCCCAGTGCGACAATTTGAAAAAGATTCAGTAAGAGCAAGTGGAAGAAGTAGTAGCGATAGAACTTCATTATGATCATTGTGTTCTTGTATCGTTCTTCTTCCTCCTTGGCCTTGTTGAATGCTTTCTCCTTATCGTGATTGAGGTCGCTGATAATTGTAGATAGTCCTTTGTTGTTCTCCATCAGTTGCGTTTGATTCTTACGTAGTAGCTTAATCTCGATCTCTAGCTTGTTCATGCGATCACTATTATCTTGCTTTTTGAGAGCTTCGATTTGGCGTTCGTAGTCAGCTTTTACAGCATAAAAAGTGCGCCTCCACTGAGTAGCGCTGTACTTCTCGTTGCATTCGTTAGGAGGCGCCATGATGATGCGTTTCGAAGATTCAGTAGTTACCGAGTGAAAAGCCTACTCATCATCAAAATGGAAAATGTTTTGCTTAGGTCTTTAAAGAAGTATGAGCATCCTGGATGGAGAAAAGATAACAATATCCATAGTCTCTATCGACTTGTTTCTAAGCTTATCGCAACAATTTGATTCATAATTTAGATGAATGCTTGAAAGATCATTCAAGGGCAGCCACAGCCACCACAAATCTGACAAGGGTGGCTGACCTTAAAAAGGACTAGAAACTTCCTCCGCAGCCACCCAGCCACTGCTAATAAATAAGAAAGATATATAATTCTTATTTTAATCAAGTGGCTGGGTGGCTGGAAGGACTATTTCTAGTCCTTTTTGAGGCCAGCCACCACCTTCATTTTTGGAGTGGTTGTGGTCGCAGCTTTTTCTTCCTTAAAGAGAAGAAAAAACTTCAAGCTATTTTATTTCTTTCTAAAAAATTGGATTTATTGGAATTTTAGAAAATTTGATACTTTGCAAAAGAAAGCGCAAATAATCTAAATATTCTAAAATTATTCGGAAGGGAAAGAAACTAACGCGAGCAAAAAAAAAAAGGATTCTAGTGCTGTACAATTTTTATTAACATGGTAGGGGTTCGCACTAGCGTTTTTCTTATCTGGGAAACCCTTGCGGGGATTTTTGTTGGAGACGCTGCGCCAGTCTTTTTCTTTTTTGTTTTGTTAATATTTGCGAGCATTCGAATACTTTCCGAATATTTGCGAATATTTTCAGAATATTTAGGAACGTCCAGCGAATATTGCAAATTAATTTTTTAAGTACGTGAATGGTTTCCCTTGCCCGGCGTTTAAGCTTCTAGGGCAACTACAAACCGCGCACGCGTTCGCGAGTTTATTTTTTTTCCTCTTTTTAAAATTTTATAATTTGTTAACATTTTTGGAATTTCTAGAGCCGTAGAGGCTCTAACTGCAGGCGATTCAATCTCCACGCATTTTAATCACATCGCTGCAAAAATTGGCAAAAGTGTAAATCTTTTAAAAGAGGTCAGCCACTCCAGCCAGCAAGGAAAAAAAAGGCGGGAAAAGCAATCCCCACTGATCTGATTTTTTTGACGTGCAGCAACCTCGACCCAAAATAAAAGGAGAACTTTTTTGGCTGGGGGTCGCTGTGCTTCTTTTTTTTGGCTGGGCGTGGCTGCAAAGCGAAAAAAACCACATGAGTGGGGACTGCCTTCGTCGCGTTTTTGATTTTGGAGGAGGTGGCGAGAAAAATACAAAGTCGCCAAGTTTCTCGCTTTTTTTTCTTAATTGACACCGGTAAAAATTCCCCAGAGCGCTGCTCTCCAGCTAAGAAGATGCCAGAAAGTTGCTAAGTTGTTTCTTTTTTTCTGATCTGAACTGGTAAAAAATCCCCAGGGTGCTGCTTTCAAGTTGGAGGCTATCAAAGAGCTACGAGGAAACTGGAAGAGACACAGACCAAACTGAAAGAAACACGAACCAAACTGAAAGAAACACGAACCGGACTGAAAGAAGCACAAACCCAAACCAGACCCAAACCCAAACAAGTCCCAGGCTGCTGCTTTTAAGTTACAAAGTCGCCAAAAGCTGAATAGGGTTGCCCTTGCCCCTTGTCTCTGTTTGATCCGAGCCCCCCCCCCCCCAACCAAACCCGAACCAAACTCGAACCAAAC